TTGTTTACATTTAATAAACAGTTTAGAAGTACGAAAACTTCCCAATCAACTGTTGTTATTACAATAGACACCCTCCTGGTGTTTCGGAGCTCATTAACTGTTTCATAATTGTAAACAAAGTCGCCAAAGTTTGAGAAAAGATGTACAGGTTCGTAAGTACTTGCGTAACTGCTTCGTGAATCTGGCCCCTGGACCTCTGTCGTTGTTGTTGCTAAAGATTCAGCTACTCAGGACGAAGTGTCCATGTAGTACGGGCTATGGTGATCCCGTAAACCTCTGTCTGTTGTTGTTTAAGATTCAGCTACTTGGAACAAAAAGTTCCAAGAAGCACGGGCTATGGTGAGCCCGTTGTGGACTTACCTGGCACAGGAGCGGGGTTGTAACTGATGAACTTCTGTCTGATTGATTGATTGATTGATGAAGATTAAGCCACCCAAAAGGTGGCACGGGCATGAATAGCCCGTAAGTGGTGGCCCTTTTAAGCCATTACCAGTATCAAGAGCTGATACTGGAGATCTGTGGAGGTGCGAATGCACCCTGCATGACGGGAGATGTCTCCCTTATGAATGTGTTAAGATGAAGATGAGGCACGGGCATAAATAGCCCGTAAGTGGTGGCCCTTTTGAGCCATTACCAGTATCAAGAGCTGATACTGGAGATCTGTGGAGGTGCGAATGCACCCTGCATGAGAACCTCTGTCGTCGGAGGCACGGTTATGTAAGCAGCGGTAGGTGAGGAGCCGCAAAGAGACAACATGTGAGCGTAAGTAGAGACAGATCCAGTACACCTCCAGCGCCTGTAGTAAACTCTCTCACCTGCCTTACCCGAGACCATTAACAGTATAGCATGCTGCTTATCATCTCCCGGGAGGGGAGGCCTGGATGCTCTAAAACAATCACCGGCCTGTAACGAAGCCGTAATCTATTTGCATATGTTGGCATTTAGAAGAGCAAGTCTGTCGTTTAAAGCCCCGCTTTTATCGACTGTAAAGGCGCCGACTCTGCTGGCCAGGCAGTCACAGGTTGTTAGGTTGGTGTGGGTGGTGGGTGGGGTGGTGGTGGGTGGGTGGGGGGTGTAGTCGTGGTGGTAATACCAGCAGTACTGGTAGTGGTGGTGGTGGGGGTCGTGCTTACCTCACAGTGACTACCAGGAAGTGAGGTCTAGCTCTTCATGCCTTGTTGCACTGGTGGTGCTGGTGGTGGTTTTGGTGTACTGGTGGTGATCGTCGTGACTGTGTACTGGTCTACGTGTTGGTGGCGGTGTGAAATTAAAATTAAGTTTATTGAGGTATAAACATACACACACAGGGATGAGGCAGCTCAAACTACTCTCACCCCGTTCAGTACGACGTGTTTCAGCGTGCTACGTACAGCGTGCTTCTACCCAAGTGTGGTGATGTGTTATCAAGCAGTGTTCTCTGTGTTCCTCTCGGTGTTCTATCTTTGAAGGAGCAGTGTAGCATCTGTTGTGTTTCTCAGGTGCTCCTTCGTTATGCACAGACGGTTCAGTTCTCACCTGGCTTGTCAGTAATTAAGTAGGTTGAACTTAATTACGTGGCAGGTAATGAACGTCAAGTAGCCATCAACTTCTTAACGGGGCCTGACGGCTGAGTGGACAGCGCTCGGGATTCGTAGTCCTAAGGTTCTACGCGGAGGTGGAAACAAATGGGCAGAGTTTCTTTCACACTAATGCCACTGTTAACCTAGCAGTAAATAGGTACCTGGGAGTTAGATAACTGTTACAGGTTGCTTCCTGGGTGTGTGTAACAAAAAAAAGGAGGCCTGGTCGAGGACCGGGCCGCGGGGACGCTAAGCCCCGAAATCATCGCAAGATAACCTCAATATATTCTCAGGTGGCTGGTTGAACATCTGGATGAAGTTGGCTACCTTGTGAAACACAAATACTCAACGAGCCTTGTTGGGCGGTGTGAGGGATGGGGGGGGGGGGGGGTGGCATGAGTAGCCACAGTGGTGAGTGAGGCGGGTGTGGAGATGACGGGTGAGGCGGGTGAGGCGGCGGCACGGGGCCTCACGCTCCCATAAACACCTTGATCTCTCACCCGTGTGGCAGTCCGTGCGCCCCAGTAATATTAGAGACCGCTAAAGTCTCCGAAGAGCAATTATACAGCCCCGCTCCTGTGCCAGGTAAATCCACTACGGGCTCACCATAGCCCGTGCTACTTGCAACTTTTTGTTCCGAGTGGCTGAATCTAAAACAACATCAACGACTCTAAAGAACAGTCAGGAGTCGAGGCGCCGGATGAACACCAAGAAAATTACGTTTCCAAGATACAATAAGGATAAGAAAAAAACAGTTGACAGCGTGAACGAGGGAGAGAAAGTAATTCAGGTGTGTGAGTTGAGCCGTGTGAGGGGGGGGGGGGAGGAGGGGGAGGGGGGACCTAGTGTCAGCAGGCATCCCCCCCATCCCCCCCATCCCCCCATCCCCCCCCCCATCCCCCCCCCTCTACCCGGACCCACAAAGTGGCAAGATGCCTCAGAAGTATTCTTTCATTTGGTTGGTTCCCAGGGCCGTAATGACGGAGATTAAAGAACATACGAGCATCAGATAGCGTGGCGGGAGGAGTGTGGCCCAGCCCAGAGGTCAGGTGCGATGTGATAGACGCGGACCGTAAGTATTCACGCAGGCGCCATCACGAAGAGGGAGATGGTACCTCTTCACCGAGAGGTACCATCACCGCTGCTTGTGAAGATGGTACCTCTTCACCGAGAGGTACCATCACCGCTGCTTGTGAAGATGGCCGTCTTGATGGTGGTGTGAGAGCAGGCGGTACCCAAAGGCAGGCAAGGATCATCAGCAACGGTCGTGCAGATCACGGCTCAGATGTTTACATGGCGAGTGACACACAGAGACCACCACTGTTAGTGGGCGCTGGGCGAGGGGTCAGGCGAGAGCTTAATTCTTAGTGTATACAAACAAGATGGCAGCTCCCACAGAGATTCTTAGCGAAAATACTTGTGAGGGGTGGTAGAGGGCAGGCACGGAGAGGATGGCCCCCGCCGGGGCTTCTTGAGATCTTCAGCACAGATGGTTGTGTGCTGAGAGATAAGGCCAAGATATTACAGATGGTGGAGGTCACGATACGCCCGCTCGCCTGCCTCACGCACCTCCTGCTGCCCTCCACACCGGCCACCCACCAGTCTACCCACCCATCACTTGCCCTGCCACCCACTGACCCTGCCACCCACTGCCCCTGCCACCCACCAGCCCCTGGCACCCACCAGCTCCTGCACCCACCAGCCCCTGGCACCCACCAGCCCCTGCACCCACTGACCCTGCCACCAACCAGCCCCTGCCACCCACCAGCCCCTGTACTCACCAGCCCCTGCACCCACTGCCCCTGCCACCTGTTGGCGGGGATATGTTACAGGGGACTGTGTGTGTGATCTGAGTCACGAACTGCTGTGTCCAGACTTGCTTTATAGCGTTTTGAAGTTGTCCGGTTCCTGCTGGGGGTGTTGACTGGTGCTTGCTGGGGTGTTGACTGGTGCTTGCTGGGGTGTTGACTGGTGCTTGCTGGGGTGTTGACTGGTGCTTGCTGGGGTGTTGACTGGTGCTTGCTGGGGTGTTGACTGGTGCTTGCTGGGGTGTTGACTGGTGCTTGCTGGGGTGTTGACTGGTGCTTGCTGGGGTGTTGACTGGTGCTTGCTGGGGTGTTGACTGGTGCTTGCTGGGGTGTTGACTGGTGGTGTTGACTTGCTTGCTGGGGTGTTGACTGGTGCTTGCTGGGGTGTTGACTGGTGCTTGCTGGGGTGTTGACTGGTGCTTGCTGGGGTGTTGACTGGTGCTTGCTGGGGCGTTGACTGATGCTTGCTGGGGTGTTGACTGGTGCTTGCTGGGGTGTTGACTGGTGCTTGCTGGGGTGTTGACTGGTGCTTGCTGGGGTGTTGACTGGTGCTTGCTGGGGCGTTAACTGGTGCTTGCTGGGGTGTTGACTGGTGCTTGCTGGGGCGTTAACTGATGCTTGCTGGGGCGTTGACATCCACATTATGTGTTTCCTCACTGGTTAATTTATCCGCTATTACGTTCCTACAAATCCCTACACGACTATGGGCGCTGTTAATTTTATCTTTTCTCCTTGAAGGTGAAGGCTGAGGAGGAGGACTGTGGTGATAAAGGTTTCGTGGTCTGACGGTTTAGGAGTCCATAGGACTTGAATGGTTTGTTCTGGAGTCCGCGGTTATATGACAACCATCATGACATAATATTATAATTGTTGTCATATGCATGTTCAAGGGACAGTTTGATAGCGAACATTTCCGTCTGTATTGTGGAGGGGTTGTTTGTCGGTCTTGGGCTCGGGGGGGGGGAAGGAAGGAATTATCAAGGGAAAAGCGCCAAGCCATTACGACTATATAGCACTGGGAAGGGGCCAAGATAAGGATTTAGGATGGGACGGAGGGAAAGGAATGGTGCCCCAAACACTTAGACGGTCGGGGATTGAACGCCGATCTGCATGAAGCGAGACCGTCGCTCGGAATGTAGACAGCTGCTGCTGCCTGGATGATTGTTGTGTATAGTGTATAGTGTGTACCTGTGCTGAGGGAGGGTGTTGGGCCAGTAAGACAACGGCTTCGGCTACATTTTAACTGTTTTTGCTTAACCCAAGGCGTTCGAACCTAAACCACGAAGTCGTTACTCCTTACTATTACCAGGCGGTTCAACGAGACTATTGTGGTGCTTGCAGGGCAGGAGCCAAGAGGGTAATTGGTCCTACGAACGAGCAAATATGACCTGTCTAAGATGATGTGGGACCCGTAGTTTGACTCGAGGGTCAGCAACTCCTTTTGGTTATGGCGCTGAACGGTGAAAAGGTCTTATTACGGGGCTCAACGGCCCTGGTTATAGTGTCTCCGGGACCATTTAAGTGGTAGCTAGTCCCCCGTCCGTGGCCTGGGCGAGGCCCGGCTCAACCTCCAGTTATCTGTTTCATCATAATACCTTGTACAGCGATGTCACCAGGTATAGCGGTCACCCACCTTCAGCACAGACACGCCCGGGTCACCCACCTTCAGTACAGACACGCCCGGGTCACCCACCTTCAGCACAGACACCCCCGGGTCACCCACCTTCAGTACAGACACGCCCGGGTCACCCACCTTCAGTACAGACACCCCCGGGTCACCCACCTTCAGCACAGACACGCCCGGGTCACCCACCTTCAGCACAGACACCCCCGGGTCACCCACCTTCAGCACAGACACGCCCGGGTCACCCACCTTCAGCACAGACACCCCCGGGTCACCCACCTTCAGCACAGACACCCCCGGGTCACCCACCTTCAGTACAGACACGCTCGGGTCACCCACCTTCAGCACAGACACCCCCGGGTCACCCACCTTCAGTACAGACACCCCCGGGTCACCCACCTTGAGCACAGACACCCCCGGGTCACCCACCTTCAGCACAGACACCCCCGGGTCACCCACCTTCAGTACAGACACGCCCGGGTCACCCACCTTCAGCACAGACACCCCCGGGTCACCCACCTTCAGCACAGACACCCCCGGGTCACCCATCTTCAGCACAGACACCCCCGGGTCACCCACCTTCAGTACAGACACCCCCGGGTCACCCACCTTCAGTACAGACACCCCCGGGTCACCCACCTTCAGTACAGACACCCCCGGGTCACCCACCTTCAGTACAGACACCCCCGGGTCACCCACCTTGAGCACAGACACGCCCGGGTCACCCACCTTCAGTACAGACACCCCCGGGTCACCCACCTTCAGCACAGACACGCCCGGGTCACCCACCTTCAGCACAGACACGCCCGGGTCACCCCACTGTTGGGTGACCCCGGGGGTGACCTGGGCGCCCTGGGACACCCAAGACACCCTGGGACCCTGGCCGGGCTTGGGGAGTACAACAGCTCTCGGAGCCCCTCCCAGGTATATTACGTCTAGGCCGTCCGTATGCTGAGTGCATCAACATGGCAGAAATATATAAAAAGGGTCCAAGTTTAGTGGACAAGCAATCATTTTCCCGTGTACCCTCACGCCCGTGTACCCTCACGCCCGTGTACCCTCACGCCCGTGTACCCACACGCCCGTGTACCCTCACGCCCGTGTACCCTCACGCCCGTGTACCCTCACGCCCGTGTACCCTCACGCCCGTGTTTAGGAAGAATGGTGGGCGGGAAGCAGCATGCTCTCCAAACACGGTTGACGATCTCCGTAGAATTAAGGATAATTATCCAAACTCAAAATATTCATCCACCAGACTGTGCAACACTGTGGTTGCAAGGATCAGGTTGTGTTACCGTTACCTGTGGCAGGTGGCTACAGGTGACGGATCCCCTAATCCTGGGCACACCAGGACCCAGATTCACGAAGCAGTTACGCAAGTACTTACGAACGTGTACATCTTTTCTCAATCTTTGACGGCTTTGGTTAGATTTATTAAACAGTTTACAAGCATGAAAACGTCCCAATCAACTGTTGTTATTGTTATAAACAGGCTCCTGGTGCTTCGGAGCTTAACTGTTTAATAATTGTAAGCAAAGCCGCCAAAGATTGAGAAAAGATGGACAGGTTCGTAAGTGCTTGCGTAACTGCTTCGTGAATCTGGCCCCAGGTGCAAACTCACTGAGCAGGAACTGGGTCATGTTCACACTATAATACCGAATGCCTAGTTATTAAATTCCTTTGGTTCCCAAACTCCTTACGGTCATTATTCTTTTTCATACAGCGTCATTGTTACTGGCCCCTACACTCAGTATTAAAACAATTTTTGCCTTGTAGTATCATAACCTGTACACTGCCTCAACTACCTACTGCTATATGTGGCAAAAAGCTCCCCATTTTGGGAACCAACGTTAATTATGCCTGGATCACCACCTGAGAGAATGTGAACATCTAAGAGACATTAGAAATATGTGTTGAATAATACCCCCCACATTGTTTAAATTAGGAAAATACTGTTTGTCAAATATAGATACTGTTCTTAAAAGATTCTTCCATTTTGCACCAGCCAAATAACGTAAGTTTTAAGGGTTGACAAATGTTAATCTTCTTGTTTGAGAAGCTGTTCACTTGGGATAGGCAAATCCCAGCTGTGTCTGGGGGTACAAGTGACACGATGAACAACCCAGCGGGTTTTCTTCCTGTTGGGGAGTGTTGTATATGCTGCCATGGCGGTGTGTCCACTCACAGGATGAGCAGACGATGCCGCAGTATCGTGCCTGAAGATTTGAAGACCAAACCACAGATCAGAAGACAGAGAAACGACGACGTTTCGGCCCGTCTTGGACCATTAACTAGTCGGGTGATCGTGGAGCATTGAATTATCACAGGACTTGTTAATGGTCGTCGATGGACCGAAACGTCGTCTCTCCTCCATGTCCTGAGGCGTAATCTGGTCTTCACAAGATGATTGACGCGACCCAGTAAACTCGCCCTTCGGGACACCATTTAAAATGTAAATTTCTCTAGGGGGAAGAATTACTGAGTTTTTACCAGGAAAATATCTTCAAGACCAACAGACATATGCCAGTCACTCGACGACAGCCGTCTCTTTAACTGTTGACGAAAGAGACGACCTCAATAAACAAAAGGAGAATACGAGGACGACGACACACGTGTTGCAGGAGTAACCTAACAACGACAATAAAGACTTGGGAGGGGGGGGCGAAATTATAACATGAAAATGAAGCCGACGAGACGACAGCAATTAAGGGAATATGAGTCGGAGAAGAGAAAGCACTAAATGCGACAATAAGGAGGGCGCGGCAGGCGTACATGACAATGAAAGCTTGGCGCATTACAGTTTTAGAGACGATAATAAACACAGAAGCAGCGGGACAAAAACTCTAAACTCTGACATACGCAGACCAGACCCCCGGTAGAGACCCCGGGCTGCCGTAGAGCAGACCCGAAGGAAGGTCCGGTGGCGAGCGCAGACCAGACACGGAGTTGCAATTTCGGTCGTGTCAGGAGGAGGAGGTGGTAGACTAGATAGTGTTCTCCACCGACCAGCCTGGTAGTCCAGTCATTCAACCTTTAGTAGGCATCCATCAGTCTCAGGAGACTATGGAGTTGCGCTCTGGTTGTCGGTCTGGAGTGGCCTCACCAGGGCGCAAAGCCAGGGTAGGTTGATTCGGGGTAGAGGCTGTTACCCAGGCAGCAGGCCCCCCTCTCCACGGCGCTGAAAGTCTCCAGTGGAAAGGCATACGCCAATACGATTGGTTCCAGCGCCGTTGCAGGAACTGTGAGTTCTGAAAATACTGCAATTTTCCGGTTAATGTGAATAAGCTTGTCAGAGTTTTATATAATCTACCATATATTCAGTCACATAACCAGCCAGTTATCTAGCCAAGTAGCGAGCCAGTTAGTAGGTCATACAGTCAACTTGTGAGTCACCGGCCGACCAGCATCAGTCATAAACCAGCAGACCACTATGTCAGTCACTAGCCAGTTACCAGCCGGTCACCAGCCGGCCAGACCTGCTCGAGACTGGCACCCTGCCTGCAGGGGATTAATCCTACCTGCTGCCCTTGACAGGGAAGACATAGCATCAGTTATTCTAGCCTTTATGGATGGATTTTATTATCTCAATACACTTACTTGAATCTGTCGCCACTTAGTGTGGTTGTTGTCATATTCAGGAATAGTTGATCAAATTGTTTACATAAAAGATTCGTAGTAAATCGTCACAGGATCTGCAGCTCTTCAAACGCCGACAACGCGGTGTGCATTTCTTGTATTTCCACCCTGAAGTGCTGGAAAGGGTAGCTGGAAGCTCTTGGCTCTCTTGTTGTTTCGACGAGCCTAGAACCCAAATCCTTCAGTTCCACGGGTCTGAAGCAATGGGGGGGGGGGGCAAAATTATGCTGATTGTCTTCCTTGGTTCTTCTTTCACGCCTAAGCTGCCCTCAGGCTGGCGGCCCCCTCTTAGGGTGGTGGGCTGGCGGCCCTCAGGCCCTCAGGCTGGCGGCCCTCAGGCTGGCGGCCCTCAGGCTGGCGGCCCTCAGGCTGGTGGCCCTGGCTGGTGGCCCTCAGGCTGGCGGCCCTCAGGCTGGCGGCCCTCAGGCTGGCGGCCCTCAGGCTGGCGGCCCTCAGGCTGGCGGCCCTCAGGCTGGCGGGCTGGCGGCCCTCAGGCTGGCGGCTCTCAGGCTGGCGGGCTGGCGGCCCTCAGGCTGGCGGCCCTCAGGCTGGCGGGCTGGAGCCTCCAAATGACCTCCTGGAAGCAAGGAACCCACCACCCGTGACAGCCTGTATTAACCTGATAGCTTATCAAAAACAAACAGACAAATACTGAGTATGGAAACTAAGCCCAAATTAATCAACGGTTGGCAAATATTTAACTTAAAAAAAATACATTATCTGCTCTTGTTAATGTTTAGCTTCATCTGACGGCAGCCTACGATGGAATGCATTAGGCAGTGATGTGGCGGAGCCTCCATACACAGTTCTAAATGTTGATATGATAGAGCCCAGTAGGCTCGCGAATCTGTACACCAGTTGAGAGGCGGGATCACAGAGCCGAAGCTCAATCCCCCGCAAGCACAACTTGGTGAGGGGACACACAGCCACTCACATCCTGAAAACACTAATAAGTGTAAGAGCAAAGTGTCACTTTTTCCAATGGGGTAATTTTTTGCCTCATGGGAGCATGTGGGGAGACGTGGGGGGGGGGAGAGACAGGTATGTCAGGAGAGAGACAGGTATGTCAGGAGAGAGACAGGTATGTCAGGAGAGAGACAGGTATGTCGAGAGAGAGACAGGTATGTCAGGAGAGAGACAGGTTTGATCTCCCGGAGGGTATCGATTCATTTCTCTCAATGTTTGCGGACGATGCTAAAATTATGAGAAGGATTAAAACAGAAGAGGACTGTTTGAGGCTTCAAGAAGACCTAGACAAGCTGAAGGAATGGTCGAACAAATGGTTGTTAGAGTTTAACCCAACCAAATGTAATGTAATGAAGATAGGTGTAGGGAGCAGGAGGCCAGATACAAGGTATCATCTGGGAGAGGAAATTCTTCAGGAGTCAGAGAAGGAAAAAGACTTGGGGGTTGATATCACGCCAGATCTGTCTCCTGCAGCACATATCAAGCGGATAACATCAGCGGCATATGCCAGGCTGGCCAACATACGAACGGCATTCAGATACTTGTGTAAAGAATCATTCAGAACTTTGTATACCACATATGTCAGGCCAATCCTGGAGTATGCAGCCCCAGCATGGAGTCCATATCTAGTCATGGATAAGACTAAACTGGAAAAGGTTCAAAGGTTTGCCACCAGACTAGTACCCGAGCTGAGAGGTATGAGCTACGAGGAGAGACTACGGGAATTAAACCTCACTTCGCTGGAAGACAGAAGAGTTAGGGGGGACATGATCACCACATTCAAGATTCTGAAGGGGATTGATAGGGTAGATAAAGACAGTCTATTTAACACAGGGAACACGCACAAGGGGACACAGGTGGAAACTGAGTGCCCAAATGAGCCACAGAGATATTAGAAAGAACTTTTTTAGTGTCAGAGTGGTTGACAAATGGAATGCATTAGGAAGTGATGTGGTGGAGGCTGACTCCATACACAGTTTCAAGTGTAGATATGACAGAGCCCGATAGGCTCATGAATCTGTACACCTGTTGATTGACGGTTGAGAGGCGGGACCAAAGAGCCAGAGCTCAACCCCCGCAAACACAACTAGGTGAGTACAACTAGGTGAGTACAGGTATGTCGAGAGAGACACAGGTATGTCGGGAGAGACACATGTATGTCAGGAGAGACACAGGTATGTCGGGAGAGACACAGGTATGTCGGGAGAGAGACAGGTATGTTAGGAGAGAGACAGGTATGTCGGGAAAGAGAGACAGGTATGCCACGAGAGATAGGTATGCCAGGAGAGAAACGGGTATGTCGAGAGAGACACAGGTATGTCATGAGAGAGACAGGTATGTCAGGAGAGACACAGGTATGTCAGGAGAGAGACAGGTATGTCAAGATAGAGACAGGTATGTCGGGAGAGACACAGGTATGTCAAGAGGTTGGACGGGTGACCTACAAGTGACCGCGTCTGGACAGAACCATTGGGTGGTCGGGGAAGAGACAGTACTAATTGCTCCGGGCTAAGTATCCAAGTGAGCTTTTGTACACATTATCTCTGACATTTAGTGCTGGTTGGGCAGTTAGGGCCGCGCCCTGATCACTGCTCCAAGTGTTTGACTAGGTGAGTGAGTGTGTGTGTGTGTGTGTGTGTGTGTGTGTGTGTGTGTGTGTGTGTGTGTGTGTGTGTGTGTGTGTGTGTGTGTGTGTGTGTGTGTGTGTGTGTGTGTGTGTGTGTGTGTGTGTGTGTGAGTGTGTATGTGTGTGTGTGTGTATTTTCTGTTGGCATAATCGAGCTATTAGCTCTTGGACCCTGCTTTTCTAACCAATCTATTTTCCTCTATTATATCTAGTACATATATTTATCTCTTTAACACACACACACACACATCCCCAGGAAGCAGCTCGTAGCAGCTGTCTAACTCCGAGGTACGTATTTACTGCTAGGTGAATCGGCGCACCAGGGTGAAAGAAACTCTGATCATTTGTTTCTCCTTCAGCTTGAGATCAAACCCGGGCGCTTAGGACTTCGACCCCAGAGCATTGAACCACTCAGCCGCGAGGCCCCCTGTACTCACCTAGTTGTGCTTGTTGGGGTTCAACCCTCCGCAAGCGTCGGGTTCAACTGGAAGACCTTTGGGTCTTCCAGTTACATATGTGGTATATAAGGTTCTGAATGATTCCTTACACAGGTTCCTGAAGGCTGTTCTGATGTTAGCCAGCCTAGCATACGCCGCAGATGTTATTCTTTTTATGTGGGCTTCAGGAGACAGGTTTGGTGTGATATCAACTCCTAGATCTTTCTCTCTGTCCGTTTCATGAAGTACTTCATCTCCCATTCAGTATCCTATGTCTGACCTCCTGTTTCCACCGCCTAGTTTTATTACTTTGCATTTACTCGGGTTGAACTTTAGTAACCATTTCTTGAACCATTCGTTCAGTTTGTCTCGGTCATTTTGTAGCCTCATACTATCTTTCTCCGTCTTAATCCACCTCATAATTGTTGCATCATCAGCAAACAATGTGAGGAACGATTCTATGCCCTCTGGGAGGTCATTTACGTATATCAGAAACAGTATAGGTCCAAGGACTGAATCCTGCGGGACTCCACTGGTGACTCCTCGCCAATTTGAGGCCTCACCCCTCACAGTGACTCGCTCTCTTCTGTTGCTTAGGTACTCCCTTATCCAACGGAGTACCTTCCCTTTCACTCCTGCCTGCATCTCCAGCTTTTGCACTAATCTCTGATGTGGTATTGTGTCAAAGGCTTTCTGGCAATCCAAAAATATGCAGTCTGCCCACCCCCTCTCTTTCTTGTCTGATTTGTGTGCCTGGCCTGTTGCCTGTGTGTGTGTGTGTGTGTGTGTGTGTGTGTGTGTGTGTGTGTGTGTGTGTGTGTGTGTGTGTGTGTGTGTGTGTGTGTGTGTGTGTGTGTGTGTGTGTGTGTGAAAAGGTTGTTTGCGTGTAAATTTTGTATATTTCTAGTTCTTGCAATGGGTAGTTGATGACAAGGGATAGACGAGAACAAGGGATAGGTGATGACAAAGGGCAGTTTATAGCAATAGTTTATTATTATTAGTGGATGAGATAAGAGGAGTAATTGGTGGAGTTCACCCTCGCTTGTGATTACTCTTCTGTTCGTTATCTTTTTCTGCGGCGCGTGACGTCATGAGTGGCGGGAGAATGGGGTCGTGTGGTGCGGCGGGTTTTGTTGGTGTTAATGTTGGTCGTTACCGATGTCCTCCTTCACCTGTAGTTAGGTGAGCTCACATGGTAATGGATCAAGGCGGGTATTTTCTCTTGCCATAGCCTAATTACTCAAAGCTGGTAATTACCGTTATAATTGAATACAGAACAAGTTTTTAACATCATATATATATATATATATATATATATATATATATATATATATATATATATATATATATATATATATATATATATATATATATATATATATATATATATATATATATATATATATATATATATATATATATATATATATATATATATATATATAACTGAAAACTCACACCCCAGAAGTGACTCGAACCCATACTCCCAGAAGCAACGCAACTGGTATGTACAAGACGCCTTAATCCACTTGACCATCACGACCGGACATAATGAGGTGATAGTGATGGTCAAGTGGATTAAGGCGTCTTGTACATACCAGTTGCGTTGCTTCTGGGAGTATGGGTTCGAGTCACTTCTGGGGTGTGAGTTTTCAGTTGCATATTGTCCTGGGGACCATTCAGGCTTGTTCGCATATATATATATATATATATATATATATATATATATATATATATATATATATATATATATATATATATATATATATATATAATATGGTCTATAGAGCTTGAGGACCTGTAGAGGAGAGTCAGGGACTATCCAAGTGGTCTACAGAGCTTGGGGACCTGTAGAGGAGAGTCAGGGACTGTCTAAGTGGTCTACAGAGCTCGGGGACCTGTAGAGGAGAGTCAGGGGCTGTCCAAGTGGTCTACAGAGCTTGGGGACCTGTAGAGGAGAGTCAGGGACTGTCTAAGTGGTCTACAGAGCTTGGGGACCTGTAGAGGAGAGTCAGGGACTGTCTAAGTGGTCTACAGAGCTCGGGGACCTGTAGAGGAGAGTCAGGGACTGTCTAAGTGGTCTACAGAGCTTGGGGACCTGTAGAGGAGAGTCAGGGACTGTCTAAGTGGTCTACAGAGCTCGGGGACCTGTAGAGGAGAGTCAGGGGCTGTCCAAGTGGTCTACAGAGCTTGGGGACCTGTAGAGGAGAGTCAGGGACTGTCTAAGTGGTCTACAGAGCTTGGGGACCTGTAGAGGAGAGTCAGGGACTGTCTAAGTGGTCTACAGAGCTCGGGGACCTGTAGAGGAGAGTCAGGGACTGTCTAAGTGGTCTACAGAGCTTGGGGACCTGTAGAGGAAAGTCAGGGGCTGTCCAAGTCCCAGAACAAGTCTCAGAACCCATTCCAGGTCAAAGGTATACTCCAGGTATACTCGTCTGCCGTGTTTCACCTAATGCAGTCTATCCGCTCCCGCAGACTGGCAGACACTCAGATGCGCTGCCAGTTAGAACAGCCTCAGGAGTAACTGAAGCCAGTCTGTGCTTGACAAGGGAGAACAAATTATTGTTGTTGTAATGTTAATGTCTTTACCTTCTTCTCTCTGATGTTTTATGTGGGAGGTAAACAAATAAACAAGTATTAGGCAGAGAATAGTATGAGGGAAGTATAAGGCGCTCATAATTGTTATCGATGTTCAGATGTTTATGATTGTTATTTATTTGTTCTTTGTTAGGAACAAAGCAAGAGTGGCAAGAACGCAAGCAAGAACATGTGTTCTTGCTACCACTAGGGAGAGTTAGCTGACTCTCAAGGAAGAATTAGATGCCTTAGGAAGAGTTAGTTGATTCCCCCCCCCCCTTACGGTGTTGTCAACCAGCACGAGGCGTGTTCCATGTAAATGTAAACACCGCGACTGCAACACTGTGTTCGGTGTTAGGTCAAGCCAGGCCAGGCGCTCTACAAGGCTTTTCGTGTAAGTTAATATTGGGTGTGTTTAAGGTGGTGTTCGAGGGTGGTGTGTGTGTGTGTGTGTGTGTGTGTGTGTGTGTGTGTGTGTGTGCGGGGGGGGGGGGGGGAGCCGGGACCACAAGATCAGGCGTCCAGCGTGCTGTTGAGGCGTGAGCTATAATGCTCTAGGAACTGGTTTGTGGAGGAGTGTTGTGTGTGTAGAGCGGCCTCCTGGTGTTCCCGTGCTCTCTGGCTCTCTTCACACCTGCGTGTGCTCAGCTGTGTGTGTGTGTGTGTGCTTCCTCGCTTAGCTAACAGCTCCCAGTCCCCGAATCTCCACCTACTGGTCAATTATAACAGTGACGCATTCTGGGTCTCACGTTTATATATATATATATATATATATATATATATATATATATATATATATATATATATATATATATATATATATATATATATATATATATATATATATATATATATATATATATATATATATATTTATGCCAATCGATTAGTACCAGATAGCCAGTGGGGTGACCCCTGGCCGCCCATCTTCAAATCCTCCTGGGGTCTACGAAGCACCACCAGGGGGGGGGGGGGGGAAAGAAGCAACAGAGCTCTGTAAGGAAGCAAACTTTAGCGCAGGAGTGGTGTACTACCAGTGACCTGGTGGTGGTGGACGGGCAGCGTAGCAGTAACAAGTGCGGAGCAGGCTGCGCACCACCTGGGAGATGGGGTGCTCAAGAGCTACACATACAAGAGCTACTCAAGAGCTTGCATACAGTACAAGGGAAACACTAGTATAGGGGAGGTTGAGGGAACTAGAGCTCACATCGCTGGAGAAGTGAAGAAACAGTGGGGGATATGATCGCAAGATTGAAGATATCGAGGGGGCCTTGACAAGGTGCATGGACAAGGACAGCCTCTTTAAAGTGAAGGAAGGACTAGGGAGACATACGTGGATGCTGGAAACGCAGCTGAGTCGAAGAATGGTAAGGAAACCTTGTTTTCATCTCGTATTTTGGTCAACAAATTGATTGGATTGGAAGAACAAGCTGTGGAAGCCACCTCCGTCCAGAGCTTTAAGGAGAAATTTGACAACGAATCCAGACACCCGAAAAGTTGAATTATTACGCAACAGGTAGAAGAAGGGCAGTAGACGGGGCATGAGGAGCTGGACCTCACGTCCCAGTAGACGGGTGCTCGCTGTCTGCATAAATATTTGTGTGTCATTCTGTCTGCCAGCGCCTTGTTGAGAGTGTCTGTTAACATCTTAAGAGTGTGTGTCACAGTCCATCACCGTCTGCGGCCGCATCTGTCCGCGTCTGTATGGGTCTCGATGCCTTGAATTCACCTAGTTGTGCTCTGCGGGGGTTGAGCTCTGCTCTTTCGGCCCGCCTCTCAACTGTCAATCAACTGTTACTAACTACTATATTTTTTCTCCCCACACCACAACACCCCGCCCGTGACAGCTGACTAACTCCCAGGTACCTATCTACTGCTAGGTAACAGGGGCATCAGGGTGAAAGAAACTATGCTAGGTAACAGGGGTATCAGGGTGAAAGAAACTCTGCCCATTGTTTCTCGCCGGCGCCCGGAATCGAAACCGGGACAATGGGATCACGCGTCCAGCGTGCTGTCCGCTCAGCCACCGGCCCCTGGTGACGGCTGTCTGTATGTGTACGTGTCTGGGTGTGTGTGTGGGGGGGGGGGGAGGGTAGGGCGTGGGGTGAGAGCACGTTGGGGCGTGTGTAGGTGTGTCATTCTCTTCCCGCGCCCCCTTACTCGGCCACAGATAAGGCCAAGCGGGCCAAATTGGCTGCAGGGATCAAGAGCGACAACACCCGCGCATTATACGAGGTCAAGGGGTCAAGGTTGACCGGGGTCAGTTGGCAATTATGAGTGTGCAGTGGCAGGCGGAGGACTGGGTGTTGCGTGCTCGCTGGGATGAGGTACAATACATTACATGTTCTCCACAGTGTGTTTGTGGAGTCAAGAGGTGGTGGAGGGTGAGGGCGTGAGAGCTGGCAACTAGGTGGTGCAGGCGACGGTCTGCCCCATGTACCCTAAATACAAAGGCAGGGTGGCCGGTTGTGTCCCGTCATGTGATGGCGGCCGGCTCAGGGGAGGGAGGGAGTGAGAGAGAGAGACAGACAGACAGACAGACAGACAGACAGACAGACAGACAGACAGACAGACAGACAGACAGACAGACAGACAGACAGACAGACAGACAGACAGAGACGGAAAAGGAGGGAAGAGGGGAAGATGGACACAGACACAGACACACACACATACACACACACTATGGGCTAATATCGGCTAATGTAGTCGCGATATACAAGAAAGGGGATAGACAGGAGGCACTGAACTACAGACCAGTGTCCCTAACCTGCATACCATGCAAGCTGATGGAGATTGTGCGAAAAAAGCTAGTGGAACATCTGGAGCGAAGGAACTTTGTAACACAGCATCAACATGGGTTCAGGGATGGCAAGTCATGCCTCTAGGATTAATTCAATTCTACGATCAGGCAACAAAAATCAGACAAGAAAGAGTGGGGTGGGCAGACTACATATTGTTAGATTGCCAGAAAGCCTTTGACAAAGTACCACACAAGAGGCTAGTGAAAAAGCTGGAGATGCAGGCAGGAGTGAATGGGAAGGTACTCCATTGGATAAGGGAGTACCTAAGCAACAGAAGACAGAGAATCAGTGTGAGGGGCGAGGTCTCAGACTGGCGAGACGTCACCAGTGAAGTCCCGCAGGGTTCAGTCCTTGGACCTATACTGTTTCTGATATATGTAAATGAGCTACCAGAGTGTATAGAATCGTTCCTCTCACTGTTTGCTGATGATACAAAAATTATAAGGAGGATTGAAACAGAGGATGCTAGTAGGAGGCTTCAAGATGACCTAGACAGACTGAATGAATGGTCCAACAAATGGCTGCCAAAGTTCAACCCGAGTAAATGCAAAGTAATGAAATTAGGAGGTGGAAACAGGAGGCCAGATACAGGATACAGAATAGGATATGAAGTACTTCAAGAAACAGAGAGAGAAAGATCTAGGAGTTGATATCACACCAAACCTGTCTCCAGAAGCCCACATAAAAAGAATTACATCTGCAGCATATGCGAGGCTGGCTAACATCAAAATAGCCTTCAGGAACCTGTGTAAGGACTCATTCAGAACCTTGTACACCACATACGTAAGACCAATCTTGGAGTATGTGGCCCCAGCATGGAGCCCGTACCTTGTTAAGCACAAGACGAAGCTTGAAAAAGTTCAGAGGAACGCTCTAGGCTAGTCCCAGAACTAAGAGGCATGAGTTACGAAGAAAGGCTGCGGGAAATGCACCTCACGACACTGGAAGACAGAGGAGTAAGGGAAGACATGATCACTACCTACAAAATTCTCAGGGGAATTGACAGGGTAGATAAGGATAAACTGTTTAACACGGGTGGTACACGAACAAGGGGACACAGGTGGAAACTGAGTACCCAAATGAGTCACAGGGACGTTAGAAAGAATTTTTTTCAGTGTCAGAGTAGTTAACAAGTAGAATGCGTTAGGCAGTGATGTGGTGGAGGCTGACTCCATACACAGTTTCAAATGTAGATATGGTAGAGCCCAGTAGGCTCAGTAATCTGTACACCAGTTGATTGACGGTTGAGAGGCGGGACCAAAGAGCCAAAGCTCAACCCCCGCAAGCACAAAGAGGTGAGTACACACATACACACACACACTAGGGGGGGGGCAGTAGCTGAGTGGACAGCGCTTAGGACTCGTAACCCCCTATCCCGGAAAAAAAAGTAGTTAGTAAACAGTTGATTGACAGTTGAGAGGCGGGCCGAAAGAGCAGAGCTCAACCCCCCGCAAGCACAAAGAGGTGAATATAACTAGGTGAATACACACACAGCTATCAAGCGAGACAGCCAACGATGGAGGGAGAGAGCGAGAACAGATTAGATCAGATCAGAAGGGAGAGTAAAAGAGATAAGATTACGAGAGAAAGCTAAAGTATGGGAAAGAGACAGAGATTGAGAGACAGATCCAACACCTGCATCCTCATCCCCCCCCCCCTCTCCCCTTCTCTTTACAGTGTTTGACTGCTGTACTTCAAAAATATTGAAACTACCTTTGATTTTGTGTTTTCCTTTAAGAATTTAGTCTTGGCTGCTTATGGAACTTTATTATATATGTGGCTCTTATGATGTGGGAACGAACCACAATTGTGGTTAGTGAGTAGGGAAGTGACCGTTTCCTCGTACTTGAGAAGGTTCAAGTCTTTAATAATTTGATATGCAGTCTTCCGTTTGAAGATCGTTATTGCAAGGGGAAGCTGTTAATGTTTGAATTGTTATTGCAACTGGTACGAGGTGTGAATCCAGCCACAGGTATTGGGCGAGCATCCAGCTGGATGGTCCAGAGCCTGTATTGGAGATGTGTTCTCTCGGGCGCGCTTGCCGCCTAACATCACCGCGTAACTAATTTAATTTTAATTTTACCCCAAGGGCGAGTTTATTGTTGGGCAGCGCCACTCATCTTGTGAGTGGACACACCGCTATAGTAACATGTACAACACTCCCCAATAGGAAGAAAACCCGCTGGGTTGTTCACCCTGTCGCTTGTACCCAACTCTCACCCATCTTCACCTTCAACCAACTAAAGTGACTTCAGTTGGTTGTCACAAGGTAAAATTCAAAGCTAAATTGGGTTATGTTCTATGAGTTGTAGCGGCCGGTGACATAATCCCTCACACTACACACACAAATCACAGTAGCCTGATGCATCAAATGAACAAATCCACGACGGCCGTGTTGAGGGTTCGAACATACGTCCAAGAGGATCCCAAATGCGCCTCCCTCACAAGAGGGGGGGCCCCTGTTGCTGAGTAGATAGCACTTGGGACTCGTAATCCTATGGTCCGGGTTCGATCCCCGGCGATGGCGGAAAACAAATGGGCAGAGTTTCTTTCACCCTGATGCCACTGTTCACCTAGCAGTAAATAGGTACCTGGGAGTTAGAGAGCTGTTACGGGCTGCTTCCTGGGGTGCGGGTGTTTGTGAAAAAGGACTCCCGCCAGCGTCTCAGGACTCCCACCAGCGTCTCAGGACTCCCACCAGCGCCTCAGGACTCCCACCAGCGTCTCAGGACTCCCAACAGCGTCTCAGGACTCCCGCCAGCGCCTCAGGACTCCCACCAGCGCCTCAGGACTCCCACCAGCGCCTCAGGACTCCCGCCAGCGCCTCAGGACTCCCGCCAGCGCCTCAGGACTCCCGCCAGCGCCTCAGGACTCCCACCAGCGCCTCAGGACTCCCACCAGCGCCTCAGGACTCCCGCCAGCGCCTCAGGACTCCCGCCAGCGCCTCAGGACTCCCACCAGCGCCTCAGGACTCCCACCAGCGCCTCAGGACTCCCGCCAGCGCCTCAGGACTCCCACCAGCGCCTCAGGACTCCCGCCAGCGCCTCAGGACTCCCGCCAGCGCCTCAGGACTCCCGCCAGCGCCTCAGGACTCCCACCAGCGCCTCAGGACTCCCACCAGCGCCTCAGGACTCCCGCCAGCGCCTCAGGACTCCCACCAGCGCCTCAGGACTCCCGCCAGCGCCTCAGGACTCCCACCAGCGCCTCAGGACTCCCGCCAGCGCCTCAGGACTCCCACCAGCGCCTCAGGACTCCCGCCAGCGCCTCAGGACTCCCGCCAGCGCCTCAGGACTCCCGCCAGCGCCTCAGGACTCCCGCCAGCGCCTCAGGACTCCCACCAGCGCCTCAGGACTCCCACCAGCGCCTCAGAACTCCCACCAGCGCCTCAGGACTCCCGCCAGCGCCTCAGGACTCCCGCCAGCGCCTCAGGACTCCCACCAGCGTCTCAGGACTCCCACCAGCGCCTCAGGACTCCCACCAGCGTCTCAGGACTCCCGCCAGCGCCTCAGGACTCCCGCCAGCGCCTCAGGACTCCCGCCAGCGCCTCAGGACTCCCGCCAGCGCCTCAGGACTCCCACCAGCGCCTCGGGACTCCCACCAGCGCCTCGGGACTCCCACCAGCGCCTCAGGACTCCCACCAGCGCCTCAGGACTCCCCACCAGCGCCTCAGGACTCCCACCAGCGCCTCAGGACTCCCACCAGCGCCTCAGGATTCCCGCCAGCGCCTCAGGACTCCCACCAGCGCCTCAGGACTCCCACCAGCGCCTCGGGACTCCCACCAGCGCCTCAGGACTCCCACCAGCGCCTCAGGACTCCCACCAGCGCCTCAGGACTCCCACCAGCGCCTCAGGACTCCCACCAGCGCCTCAGGACTCCCACCAGCGCCTCAGGACTCCCACCAGCGCCTCAGGACTCCCACCAGCGCCTCAGGACTCCCACCAGCGCCTCAGGACTCCCACCAGCGCCTCAGGATTCCCGCCAGCGCCTCAGGACTCCCACCAGCGCCTCAGGACTCCCACCAGCGCCTCAGGACTCCCACCAGCACCTCAGGACTCCCGCCAGCGCCTCAGGACTCCCGCCAGCGCCTCAGGACTCCCGCCAGCGCCTCAGGACTCCCGCCAGCGCCTTAGGATTCCAACCAGCGCCTCAGGACTCCCACCAGCGCCTCAGGACTCCCGCCAGCGCCTCAGGACTCCCGCCAGCGCCTCAGGACTCCCGCTAGCGCCTCAGGACTCCCGCCAGCGCCTCAGGACTCCCACCAGCGCCTCAGGACTCCCACCAGCGCCTCAGGACTCCCACCAGCGCCTCAGGACTCCCACCAGCGCCTCAGGACCGTGTAATGTATAATTCAGTAGTTCCTGTCGGGTGAAAAACGCTCCACTTCCGCCACTGGAATTCCTAGAGCGCCGGACCGACCATCGTGATCCACCGCCGGTAATTATTTTCTCTACCGCGGCCACGTCGGACGGCGACGCGCGGCCCCTCCTCGCCGACGGAACAGAATTTCCATCGTAAATTTCTAGTAATGACGAGCTGGATGGGCGTTCCCTTACCCGCCAAAAATTATCCCCGCCGTAATCATGGGCAAAAAGGTAATTTTGGTGGCATTTTGGGTGATGTATGCTGAGATAAAACACCATTATAAAGGGGATAAGTAATATATTTTGTTTATGAAGTGAGGGCCAGGAACGGCGGAGATCTTGTTGTTGTTGTTGTTGTAGTTGTAGTTGTGTGGGAGTTGTACACAGGTCGAGGGGGGTATACTGACCAAGGGAACACAGGTCGAGGGGGGTATACTGACCAAGGGAACACAGGTCGAGGGGGGTATACTGACCAAGGGAACACAGGTCCAGGGGGGTATACTGACCAAGGAACACAGGTCGAGGGGGGTATACTGACCAAGGGAACACAGGTCGAGGGGGTATACTGACCAAGGGAACACAGGTCGAGGGGGGTATACTGACCAAGGGAACACAGGTCGAGGGGGGTATACTGACCAAGGGAACACAGGTCGAGGGGGGTATGCTGACCAAGAGAACACAGGTCGAGGGGGGTATACTGACCAAGGGAACACAGGTCGAGGGGGTATACTGACCAAGAGAACACAGGTCGAGGGGGTATACTGACCAAGGGAACACAGGTCGAGGGGGGTATGCTGACCAAGGGAACACAGGTCGAGGGGGGTATACTGACCAAGGGAACACAGGTCGAGGGGGGTATACTGACCAAGGGAACACAGGTCGAGGGGGGTATGCTGACCAAGGGAACACAGGTCGAGGGGGGTATACTGACCTAGGTAACACAGGTCGAGGGGGGTATACTGACCAAGGGAACACAGGTCGAGGGGGGTATACTGGCCAAGGGAACACAGGTCGAGGGGGGTATGCTGACCAAGGGAACACAGGTCGAGGGGGGTATACTGACCAAGGGAACACAGGTCGAGGGGGGTATGCTGACCAAGGGAACACAGGTCGAGGGGGTATACTGACCAAGAGAACACAGGTCGAGGGGGGTATACTGACCAAGGGAACACAGGTCGAGGGGGGTATGCTGACCAAGAGAACACAGGTCGAGGGGGGTATGCTGACCAAGAGAACACAGGTCGAGGGGGGTATACTGACCAAGGGAACACAGGTCGAGGGGGGTATACTGACCAAGGGAACACAGGTCGAGGGGGGTATACTGACCAAGGGAACACAGGTCGAGGGGGGTATACTGACCAAGGGAACACAGGTCGAGGGGGTATACTGACCAAGAGAACACAGGTCGAGGGGGTATACTGACCAAGAGAACACAGGTCGAGGGGGGTATACTGACCAAGGGAACACAGGTCGAGGGGGGTATACTGACCAAGGGAAGACAGGTCGAGGGGGGTATACTGACCAAGGGAACACAGGTCGAGGGGGGTATACTGACCAAGGGAACACAGGTCCAGGGGGGTATACTGACCAAGGGAACACAGGTCGAGGGGGGTATACTGACCAAGGGAACACAGGTCGAGGGGGGTATGCTGACCAAGGGAACACAGGTCGAGGGGGTATACTGACCAAGGGAACACAGGTCGAGGGGGGTATACTGACCAAGGGAACACAGGTCGAGGGGGGTATGCTGACCAAGGGAACACAGGTCGAGGGGGGTATGCTGACCAAGAGAACACAGGTCGAGGGGTGTATACTGACCAAGGGAACACAGGTCGAGGGGGGTATACTGCCCAAGGGAACACAGGTCGAGGGGGGTATACTGACCAAGGGAACACAGGTCGAGGGGGGTATACTGACCAAGGGAACACAGGTCGAGGACGTGCGTGCCTCACCAGTGGTCACGCCTGATCACCACTTCGATTTATTGGTCAACAAATATCCAGGGATGGATCAGATGGTCGCAGATTACACACCTGTAGACTCACTGACCCCCCCCCCCTCACCAACACTGCTCCTTCCCTCTAATACTTGAACCATTGACCGTGTAATTCCTCATATATGAAACAACTTACCACTTGGTTGCGTTCAAGAGCAAATATTAGGAGGGTACATATAGCCTAGTCTAGTCTATTTGGAATGTATTTTATTTATTCGATAAGCTTACTTGAAGAACAAATGTGTAATATATAATATGGTATATTAATTTAATAACATATCGCCAAAGTAGTATAACTCATTCTGTGAGTGAACACACCACTATAGCAGTGCGACTCATCCTGTGAGTGAACACACCGCCGTAGCTGCACATACAACACCCTCTAGTAGGAAGAAAACCCGTTGGGTTCTGCCACTTGTACCCAGACGCAACTTGGACTCCCTTAACTGTCTCAGGTGAACAAACTGTCCGCACGTTCCACGGATCACCTTGCGAGACACCAATCTAGATCTAGGGAACGTTATACGACGACCGCCCTTCCAGAGATTCTGATCAGAGCATAATGTAGGCATCACCTTCTACTGTCCCTTGGAAGGTGCCTGCATGTAGCTTCGACCTTGTATAAGGAGTGCCTGCTCCCATATCCCAGACAGTGTCCAAGAGCCAGATTTACGAAGCAGTTACTCAAGTACTTAGGAACGTGTACATCTTTCCTCGATCTTTAACGGCTTTGGTTACATTTATTAAACAGTTTACAAGCATGAAAACCTCCCAATTAACTGTTGTTATTGTTATAAACAGCCTCCTGGTGCTTTGAAGCTCATTAACTGTTTACTAATTGTAAACAAAGCCGCCAAAGATTGAGAAAAGATGTACAGGTTCGTAAGTGCTTGCGTAACTGCCTCGTGAATCCGGCCCCCAGGGGGAGTGCTACTCCAACCTGAGATAACAGCCAACTAGACCATATCTAGAAGTTAACGGCGGCCGCTGCTGGATGACAGGTTATGACTGGCGACACGGGAGAGTGGCGGGACCTGTGGCTGACTGTATCCGTGAAGCTGTGGCTGGGGATCGAGGCACCCACTACCACCCAACGCCCCCCTCCCCAATCACCCCCCTCCGTCGCCCCCCCCTTCCCCGGGCTACATTCTCAAGTGTCGTCGAGTTAATCTCAACAGAATGTTAATTTAGGTTTGGCCACGCTGTGGGTTAAGAGTAGGAGGGGTTGGCCAAAATTTGACTCTGTTAAATGCAGTTAAACATTTGGTAAGAGTGTGTAAGGTGTCTGTGTCGGGGAATGTGTGGCGGGATGTTTTACTGTTTGACCTTAAAGTGGCAGCCAACGGCAGGGTCAACACAAGCTGTGAAGCAACAGCAGAAACGGGAACAACAGCCGCAGCAGCTGCAACAACAGTAACAAAAGCGATAGCAGGCCAGCAGTAGCAGTAGCAACAACAGCAGGCCAGCAGTAACAACATCAGCAGCAGCAGCAGGCCAGCAGTAGCAACAACAGCAGGCCAGCAGTAGCAGCAGCAGCAGTAGCAGCAGCAGCAGCAGCAGCAGGCCAGCAGTAACAACAGCAGCAGCAGCAGCAGGCCAGCAGTAGCAACATCAGCAGGGCAGCAGCAGCAGCAGCAGGCCAGCAGTAGCAACAACAGCAGCAGCAGCAGCAGGCCAGCAGTAGCAGCAGCAGCAGACCAGCAGTAGCAACAACAGCAGCAGCAGGCCAGCAGTAGCAACATCAGCAGGCCAGCAGCAGCAGCAGCAGGCCAGCAGTAGCAACAACAGCAGCAGCAGGCCAGCAGTAGCAACATCAGCAGGCCAGCAGCAGCAGCAGCAGCAGCTGCAGCAGCAGCAGCAGGCCAGCAGTAGCAACAATAGCAGCAGCAGGCCAGCAGTAGCAACATCAGCAGGCCAGCAGCAGCAGCAGCAGCAGCAGCAGCAGGCCAGCAGTAGCAACATCAGCAGGCCAGCAGCAGCAGCAGCAGCAGCAGCAGCAGGCCAGCAGCAGCAGCAGCAGGCCAGCAGTAGCAACATCAGCAGGCCAGCAGCAGCAGCAGCAGCAGGCCAGCAGCAGCAGCAGCAGCAGGCCAGCAATAGCAACAACAGCAGGCCAGTAGCAGCAGCAGCAGCAGGCCAGCAGTAGCAACATCAGCAGCAGCAGCAGGCCAGCAGTAGCAACATCAGCAGGCCAGCAGTAGCAGCAGCAGCAGCAGCAGGCCAGCAGTAGCAACATCAGCAGGCCAGCAGTAGCAGCAGCAGCAGCAGCAGCAGGCCAGCAGTAGCAACATCAGCAGCAGCAGCAGGCCAGCAGTAGCAACAGCAGCAGCAGCAGCAGCAGGCCAGCAGTAGCAACATCAGCAGCAGCAGCAGGCCAGCAGCAGGCCAGCAGTAGCAACATCAGCAGGCCAGCAGCAGCAGCAGCAGCAGGCCAGCAGTAGCAACATCAGCAGCAGCAGCAAGCCAGCAGTATCAACATCAGCAGGCCAGCAGTAGCAGCAGCAGCAGGCCAGCAGTAGCAACAACAGCAGGCCAGCAGTAGCAGCAGCAGCAGGCCAGCAGTAGCAACATCAGCAGGCCAGCAGCAGCAGCAGCAGCAGGCCAGCAGTAGCAACATCAGCAGGCCAGCAGCAGCAGCAGCAGCAGCAGCAGCAGGCCAGCAGTAGCAACATCAGCAGGCCAGCAGCAGCAGCAGGCCAGCAGTAGCAGCAGCAGCAGCAGCAGGCCAGCAGTAGCAACATCAGCAGGCCAGCAGCAGCAGCAGGCCAGCAGTAGCAACATCAGCAGGCCAGCAGCAGCAGCAGGCCAGCAGTAGCAGCAGCAGCAGCAGCAGGCCAGCAGTAGCAACATCAGCAGGCCAGCAGCAGCAGCAGGCCAGCAGTAGCAACATCAGCAGGCCAGCAGCAGCAGCAGGCCAGCAGTAGCAGCAGCAGCAGCAGCAGGCCAGCAGTAGCAACATCAGCAGGCCAGCAGCAGCAGCAGCAGCAGCA